TCACTGGATAATGTTAATTCACTGAATAATATTCTCTGGAATATTGAAATATAACAAACAAAACATTGTATTTTATTGCATTTCCATGTTATAATGTTATATCAGAATTAATAATAATGGTTTTGTCCTTCTAGATTATGAAATGTCTGCTGACAGCGCAGTTCATTTACACAGGTACACAAAACTATACGCAAACTGCGATCGCTCGCGGAGATAATAAATAATTAATTTCCATAGAGTTGTATTTATTTAGATGTTTATTAGCGAAATAATGGTTATATAGTAAATGTTAATACAATTTAGGGTCTTTTAAACAAGTGAATCTTGTTAAAAGTTACATGCGGTGGCCGTGCTGGAGCATTTCTTGAGCATCAACCGCATCAACCCAGTGAGAGAACGGCAATATAAAAGCGGCTTCGCAAGACTAATGATGAGCAAATATACAACACAGAGAGAAGTAAATTCAGCGCGTTTATTTCCAACATGCGCTCATTCATGGCTGTATTATTTAATTAATGCAAAATTACGTCTTTATTGGGAGAGGACTTGACGGATTATCTTAGCCTACGTGACTCCGACTTCATGAGACGATGAGCATATAGACAACAGAGAGCGAATTAAATTCAGCACTTTTATTTCCAACATGCACCCATTCATGGCTGCATATTTAATTCACGCAAAGTTACGTCTTTATTGGGACAGGACTTGACGGATTATTTTACGTGACTCCGTGAGTTCGTCTCTATTTCTTCGAGCCAAGCTGCATAAACTGCATATCAGGCATTTATGTAATACATCTAATTTGGGCTTTAATGGCTGTTATGTTAAATAAAGATTACCAACTACAGTAAATCAAGTACCCGTGCACGTCGTTGTTGTTGTCTTGTTTCCCCTCAGATGCGCTGCAATGGTGATCCTGCGCGCAATTCTCAAAACATTTATCGGTGAATCCGATATTACAAAACCGATATCCGATTATTGTAAAATACTTAAATATCAGGAAAAATATCGGTAAATCGATATATCGGTCAATCTCTAATTTGAATAGCGTTTCTGGTTTGGACGTAATCTCACCTTGCCTGGATTTTTCCGTTTGAACTGCACAATATCTGTTGCACAGGAAGAGCCCGTAACCCAAACTTCAGCCAGGTGGTGGCATAATTCAGGCACACTCAAAGTCCCAGGCTGCATTAGACCCCAGCTGATAGCCAATCAGAGAAGAGCAGAGAGAATTAACAATTACATTAAACAACTCTCAAGTCTCACACCACTGGAAAAACCTGAAAAAGAGTAAACAAATTGACATTACCTTTCATTCTCACGCTCATCTTGCTTTTTAACTGTAAAAGAACAAAAACAAACAATGTCAGGTACATTTGTGAGTATTACAAGACTTTTTTCACTTCCATCAGAAAAATAAATATTTTGACAGGTTTTATGAGCAAAACTTTTAAATTAGTATCTGGTTTGAATTCTTTTAAAGACTTCCCAGAATGTTGATCGAAAGCTAATAAGCCACTGTGTAACAACTACATGCAAAATATTGATTCAGGTCGATACTGGTCTCCTCCTGGAAATGCACTAGTAGGAACTGTCAATTTCATAACTTGCTAGGAGCTGAGTGAATGGCCAGGGAGAAAATGAAACTTGAGTGGGTCACAGCACAGGGAACACAGAGATTTTAATTACAGACAATATGATTCATATTAAAATAATAAACAGATGGAAGAAAGATGAGGTCTTATAGGTAGGTAGTAGTTGTAGACAGGCAATAGAGGAAGGTCAGTTGTACCTCTGATCTTAGGCCAGATCTTATTCCTCCAAGTGTCGACACAAACAGCCAGAGCCAGACCTGATGCCAGCAGAAAAAGCAACCTCAAAGAGCTCAGAGCAAAAAACCTGAGAAGAGATCAGAAAGACTGTAGTCCATTATTTATACTCTTTTTAAATGTTTTCATCATGAAATAACCTTGAATAAAGGCTTTTTGATCATTTTTGTGAACTGTCTTGAATCATTGTTTTTTATGGATTACAATGTGTGCTTTATACGGCATCAGCAGCTCTGTTGTGGAATCTCTGACCAAAACCTTGTGATGGCATCTGTCACTCATTTATCTTGCTGAATATATGAGGAAACCTTTGTTACACAGGTGTTTCCGGCCCCAGTGTCTTCCTGTGCAAATCTCAGAGACAGCGTGTGCTGCACAAGCAGTTGTGATTTCCGACAGTTTCGCTGCATGGCTAATTACTGCTATGTGCTACAGTACTTGGCCAAAAGATGAGCCACCACTGAGACCAGGCTGAATTCTACTGATCTCTCGGTGTGGAACCAGACAGCGAATGCTGTTTGATGACTGGATCAAACAGCATTTGCACATTGACCTGTCAAAACCACTACAACCACATTTAAGTGGAGGGTTGAAATGTTCTGAGATGGTGGTGAGACTTTATTTCTGAATGGCCTGGGCTATGGTTAAAAAATTATAAATAAACATCTTTACAAGCTCAGAAATGCCACAAGCGGTTCCTCTGCTGTTCACTGAGGCAAATAAAAGGAGATAATAAGATCAGGGAGAATATTTCTCTGATGGAGAGGGTGACTGCACTAAGTGAATGAAGACTGCACGCCTGAACGATAAAGAAAAAGAGAGTGAGCCATCCAACCTACAAAAAATTCTTCCCTGCACATCTTTCCCTCATGAAGCATTTCATCTAAAGCTTTTCAGACTTATTGAGCACCCTTTATGGCAAATAGTCAACATGAAATCTCATTCCCAACTAATTTTACTTCTATTATGTCACATATTTCCATAAAAGGAGGCAAAATTATCAGGATTTTATCCATTAAGGATTTGAATAGGATGGCAAAAAGTGGGTGTTACATATCAGTATGGAGCCTTAAAGCAAATTTGCATAACATAATTCTTAAATATTAATTTCAGACGAAAAGCACGTTGTTACATTTTGATTAAAGTAGGGCTGCGAAACGATTGATCACATTCAAAATAAAAGTTTGTTTACATACAATACGTGTGTGTAGTCTGTGTACTGTGTATATTTATACATACATGTGTATATTAAGGAAAAATTATAGAATTTTATATAAAACATTTATATTTATATAGTATTAATATATATACATACAAATATATTTTTTAAATATATACAAAGGTGTGTGTATTTATATATACACAGTACACACACATATAGTATGCAAACAAACTTTTATTTTGAATGCGATTAATCGTTTTGCAGCCCTAGATTAAAGATTACAGAGGCAAACAATTTGTAATCTTTGTAGTAAGTGCACAAATAAAATGACTCCAAAACCAGGACATGCATTAAGCAAGTAAATAGTGTCCACTTTGAACTTATGTTGATTTTAAAAGCACAAAAGTGTGTACTAACAGCACATGGCTTCCCAAATTAGGCTGGCCTGAGAAAAGTCTTAAGGCATGAACAAGAAATCATACAACTGTAAGGCCAGGCCCAACAAACCGGTTTGGGAATATAACATGTTAGTTGGCATTATTATTCAATTTTAATAATAAAATAATAATAATATTTATTGTAAATCCTTTAAAAAAAAGTTAATATTAAATATGAATAACATCATGATTCATATATTACTAATATAGTGATATAATATTAATATTATAGTAATGTGTGTGGTAGTGTCTCTCATAGTGCTATGCAGTTATCTACTGTCTACATTAATAACTGACAGTAGGAGGTCGAAGGCAACATGCCACATATATAGGCCACAGAAATCCAGTGCAAACTTAGTAAAGGCTGTTAAACATGGCACCTAATACAAGATTAAACGTAATTGTTCCGTCAATCACAAATACAGCATTGTGTTTACAGTAGCACCAATACAGCCAGAGCTCACTGCCTAAATATAGGCACCCAGCCTGACCATCTGTTCCTTATCTTAAATTAAAGGGGCAAAAGTCTGGAGCACGTCGATACGTATGCATCCAGATAAAACAAGAAAGGCTTATACAAGATCCTCAAAATATTCGTGAATAATGTAAACGTTTCAACTGAAAGCGCTAGGTTGTAAACAGAGCCCGGGTGGAGAAAACGTTAAATCCATGGAGATAAAGCTCATCCACTCACCAGAACATGACATTGGCGGCCGTGTACAGTAGGACGCTGTGGAAGGGTCTCTCCCACAATAATACAGACTGCAGATAGGTGAGCAGGCGCTCGTGGGGTCCCAGCCGCTCCAGCAGCGTTGCTTTCACGGCGCGGAGCTGCTCTTGACTCTCGCCGGAGCACGAGCCGCTCCGGAGGCCGACGCGCGAGCGCAGCTTCCCCGCACAGCCGCTCCCTTCAGCCGCGTCTTCCGCTCCAGCCATACTTACGCGTTTGGAAAAACGTGACAGCAAAAATAGCAACAAAATCTAGAATAACAGAGTGCTGGAAATAAACCCCGTGCTTTAGAAACGATCTGGATGTATGTGTCGCTAGCTAGCTTTAGCCTGAAGCCGCTCAGGGCAGACCTCGTGCGAGGCTGCCGCCGTTGATACAGAGCAAATGTGAAATAAAACCCATTTTTTGGGTCTGGTTTGCTATATTTTTACGTTTAAGTGTCAGCACAGGTCCTTTTTTATGTTGTTACCGTGCTGCTGTCATGTCAAGTCGTTGTTTTTGTCGCGGGAGCAACAGTGCGAGCTGCGGAGGACGGGCTTGATCTGGCCAATGGTTTCAGGATTACAGTCAGAGTCAGAGCTGGAGAATAACAACCAACACCTAGCAGTCACAGCTCTCTTCAGATGCCTCCAACAATCGTTCGGGAAGAACTCTCAAAATGTCCCAAACAAAAACTACATGTTTGTTTGTTAGAAAAGGGTGTCATAAGCGTAAACTCTACTAATAAATCAAATAGTGTCATTTGGATTATTGGCATAGTATACAGGTTTGTTAGGAAGATTTCGATTTTACAGTATGGTTTATAAAACAGTAAGATATATATACAAGCCCAAATATCTCTTATAATTATCATTTATATGAAAGAAATACTAAAGATATTTTGGATTTTATTTTAAAGGTTTATGCATTATACTTGAGCGCAGAGGTGCCCACATTTTTCACCATGAAGGACCAACAATCCAACTTGATTGAGGGCCGAGGGCCAACAGTGAATGTTTCATTATATCAAAATAAAAAAAAAATCAAATTCACTTCCAGTATATTCTCTACATTTTAATGCAAAAATAAAACAAAATCTATTAAATTAGAAAGGTAAGGATAAATTATAAGTGTAGATATGCTCCAATTACTCTTAGCTGTCCATCGTGTTCGATGATGACGCTTGCTCCAGAGATGGGAGTGGGAAGGGGATGGGTTTAGCGATGTTGCCGCTGGTGCCACTTCTCGTGATCCTTGAGCCGCACACTCTTCCGCAGATGGAGCAAGGGAAACCAGATACCAGGGGGGTACCAGCCGCCCTCTGGTGTCTCTTAGTGCGTCTCTCGGATCGTCGGCCTTGGTTGGTTTGATGTATTTGAGAGACTGCAGTGGCACAGGTGACCTGCCAGGCTGACCTGTCAAGTGCCAGAGATTCAAGTTGCGTGAGGGGAATGTTCGCTCGCTTTAGGAGGTCCCTGGTGTAGTCCTTAAAGCGACGTTTTTGCCCTCCAGCAGAGCGCTTTGTGCCCATTAGTTGACTATAGAGGACTTGGCGGGGCAGGCGATGTTCAGGCATGCGTATGGTGTGCCCTAGCCAACGCAGATGTTTTTGGGCCACTGCTGCTTCCATGCAGATTGAGTCAGTATTGCTGAGGATGACTGTGTGGGGAATTCGAGCTTCCCAGGACAAATTGAGGATCTTCTGTAGGCAGCGGATATGGAAGGCCTCTAGGTTAATAATGTGCTGGCGGTATGGGGTCCATGACTCTGCCCCATAAAGCAGAGTGGAGAGACATACCGCATTGTAAACGGCGACCTTGGTACTGATCTTCAGGTTATGATTTTCAAAAACCCTGCTGCGTAGGCGTCCAAAAGATGATGAGGCTTTATTTATTCGGGTGTGTATTTCTGTGTCAAGGGAGCAACATGAGGACAAGGTGGAGCCGAGGTAGGTGAAGTGGTCCACTGTTTTAAGTGGAACACCATTTATGTGAAACCTGGGGGGTATGGGGGCGGGTGTAGCGAGATAGGACATAACCTCGGTTTTTTGAGTGTTAACCTGTAGACCAAAAGATTGGTACAGACTAGATATTGTATTTAGAGCGTGCTGCATAGAGTCCAGGCTGTGGGCCAAAACGGCACAGTCATCAGCATACTGAAGCTCACAGATTTGGCGGGACTTTATCTTTGTGCGGGCCTGGAGTCGACGGATGTTAAAGAGGCTACCGTCAAGTCGATATTCCACATGGACACCATGTTCATGCCCCATGACACGATGGAAGAGGCAGGTGATGGCAGAGAGGAAGATGTTAAAGAGCGCCGGAGCCAAGACACAGCCTTGCTTCACTCCAACGTTTACCTCGAAAGACTCAGATTGAAGTTCACCCTCACCATGCTGGCCGATGACTTTACCCCATACCAGGTGCTCCGTACCCACTCTAGCATTGAAATCTCCCATGAGTATGAGCCTGTCCATAACCGGGGTTTTCTGTAGGATGGCATCAATAACTCTATAGAAATCCTCTTTGATGTTATGCTCGGCATCAAGAGTTGGAGCATATGCTGAAAGCAGAAAGTGACAAGCATGCTGCTAACTACAAGCACTACTACTCCAACACTGCTGCACTGACGCATCACACGCCCTTGAGTGAGTACTCACACACACACACACACACACACACACACGTTTGTTTCTGTGAATTGTGGGGACTTTCCATAGACTTCTATTACTTTTATAATGACCAAGCAATATTGTCTATCCCCTAACCCTAAACCTACCCCTTACAGAAAACCTGTTTGCATTGTTACACTTTCAGATAAACATAATTTACTATTTTTAACCTTTTTTTTTTTTACTACAGATCCCCACAATGTCAAAGATTTCAGGTTTTACTATCCTTGTGAGGACATTTGGTCCCCACAATGTAGCATAAACAAGTACACACACACACACATACATACATATATATATATATATATACAGATTATTTTATTATTTTCTCAAACAGAATAAATGGGTCTGTTTGCATGATGTAATCATATAAATAAATGATATAAATTAATGCGTTTTATAAAGAATCTTAAGGAGATTGTGATATTTGGGAATCCTTGGCATCAAAATGTTTGAAAACCCTTTATATAAAAATAAATAGTAAACTTGTTGCATTTTGCCAACAGTGATTTAGTGACTACAATTATCACACAAGGCAATGAATTAAAAAAATGTTGCTATACACTGAGAAATGTAACAAATAACCAGCCATTTAAACCTGACCTGAATGTCTTTCCTCTGTTTGCGCAACAAGTGTTCTTTCGGTACATTTTCAGCAAGTATCGATCGGTTCAAGTTTGCTGGTCTTCACATTGTGAAAGTATAGAGGGCCTACGTCTGCGCATGCGCAGTGCGCGTCCGTTGGGCCGTTGCTGTTGGAGCGGGAATACGCATAGTGGTTGACTGACAGCAGCACAACACATCTCTCACCTTTACTGGTCCTACAGCTGAAATAACAGCACAGCATGCCTCGAGAAATCATCACCCTGCAGCTGGGACAGTGCGGGAATCAGAGTGAGCCATTCGCTGTGTATCACGCTCTGTTTGACATAAACAGTTAGCTAGCTAGCTAGCTAGCTATCACACTGGATAGCTTTGAAGTGACACAGTAGATACAGTCGATATGGTTTTGGTTGTTTATTGGAGCTTTTCGTCAGCAAGAAGTCAAAAACGTATTCACTAGTTTCCACTTATTGACGACTTTTAATTGTTGTTTGCTAATTAATAATGATAATTATTTAATGCTGTCAGTTAGAGATAACTAATGAATCAAATTGTAATGTAACCAACCTGACATCTAACTTAGTGTGTTTATGTATGCACGTAATTCTAAACGCTGCTTTGTATTATTTACAGTCACGTTGGGCAGTTTTAGCTAGAGGGATTTGCGTTGTGTTTATCTTTTACTCTGAGAAATATGGGCTTCATATCATATAACGTTATAGTGTGAGCCGAGACTGTGTCAGACTTGGTCATTGAAGGCAAATGATCACCGAGTGCAAGATTTGATTTCTATCACAGATGTGGTATAAACAATAGCCATTACATTAATATTCTTAAATCACACCGCTATATAATGACATGACAATAGCTTACAGCCTTTTTACAACTGTTGTTAAGAATCCACCATTAATGGACTGAATGGTGTGTTTTCTCTCTCTCTGTGCAGTTGGTTTTGAGTTTTGGAAGCAGCTGTGTGCTGAGCATGGCATCAGCCCAGAGGGCATCGTAGAGGAGTTTGCCACTGAGGGTACAGACCGGAAAGACGTCTTCTTCTATCAGGTACACAAATATAGACTAAAGCCCTATTCGCACGGGATTAGTATTACCTGGTGACCTCCGGTCATTTGTAATAATTGTGGAGGTTGTCTGTGATCTTAATCCCGTGTGAATCGGCCATGTCTGTAATTTGTAAAAGTAAAAATTCCCCCGCAAACGACCTACCATATTTCACCGAACACCGAGGTCCTGTGATCATATTAGTCCCGTGCGAATCGGCATCTCTGGGATTCAGCCAGCATTTGGCGGGTCGCATATCATTTTTCGAGGTTTTTGTTTGCTGTGCGCCTTTTTACCCATCTTCCGCGAAGAATGGAGCTGCGTTGGAGTGTTTGATAGTATTTTGGGTGCTGTCATCATATCGCTACACCATACAATTTGCAGAAAGAGAAAGCTGAAAAGGTTTTGAGGTTAATGTGTTACAAATAAATCAAGCATAAAGCTTGAGATATTATTTTAACCTGGTAAAATGTAAATGACACAGCGCACAAAACTATTTTAGTTTATTTTTTTATATCCATCAAACCGGACCATAGAACGGGACTCTCAAAGCCTTGACATCCAGGTATCCGGGAGATAAGACAGTAAATTCGAGGAAAATCACAGGCTTCGCTTATCCCGTGCGAATGCACCACACGAAATTCAGAAGTGGGGGGGTAATTTCAAAATCACACAAGGTCCCCAGATAATACTAATCCCGTGCGAATAGGGTTTAAGGCATTTGGAGCTAATCAATGACCAACCATGATCAGCACATCAAGATTGCTGCTCTAAAGTCTATGTTTTATTCAGCAATATAAACCATTGAGTTTGTATATAGACACCTATCTTATCATCAAGACAACAAGCAACATACGGATAGTATTACAATGGCTACTCTGCCATTGTGGCCAGTATGAACAATTTCAGTTTAAATTTTAAAGTACTTCTCTAGCATGATTGTGTTTACATACAATATTGCCAAAACATACACAAAAAAGGTAATCAAGTAACAAACAAGTGCAATACAAATACTATTAAAGCAAAGTTCTAAGTAATAAATGAAATAACATAATAAAATAGTGTATATTATATAAATAACTTTTAAAATAAAATGTAATATCTCATTAAGATTCTTCATTGTTAGTTAGGAGTTCACATAATTACCCACCAGGTGGCGCTAGGTTCCCATGTTTGCAGCTGTTGTAAGTCCATTATCCCTCTGCAATCATTATGTGGAGGCCTTTTCACAATCTGATGGAAAATTGATTTGAAATAAATGGCACAGCTTCTAGTTCCATT